ATCTGAGGTTGTTGATATTTCTCCCAGCAATCTTAATTCCAACTGGTGATTCATCTAGCCCTGCCTTTCTCATGATGTGCTCTGCATATATGTTAAATAGGCAGGGTGACAGTATTCAGGTTTGTCCAACTCCTTTCTCAATTTTGAACCAATCAGTGGTTCTGTGTCCAGTTCTCACTGTTGCTTCTTGACCTGCATATAGGTTTCTCAAGAGACAAATAAGATGGTCTGGTACTCCCATCCCTTTAAGAACTTGCCACAAGTTGTTGTGATCCACACAATCAATGGCTTTAGCATAGTCAATGAAGCAGAATTCTAGAATGTTTTTCTGGAACTCCCTAGCTTTCTCCATAATCCAGCGTATGTTGGCAATTTGATCTCTAGTTCCTCTCCCTCTTTGAAATCCTGGCTGTACTTGTGGTAGTTCTCGGTCCACATACTGCTGCAGCCTAGCTGTAGGATTTTGAGCATAACTTTGGTAGCATGTGAAATGAGTGCAATGGTGTGGTAGTTTGAACAATCTTTGGCATTGCCCTTCTTTGGAATTGGAATGTAAACTGACCTTTTCCAATCCTGTGGCCACTGTTGAGTTTTCCAAATTTGCTGGCATATTGAGTGTAGGACTTTTACTGCATCGTCTTTTAGGATTTTTAATAGCTCGGCTGGAATACTGTCTCTTCCACTAGCTTTGTTGTTGCTCAGACTTCCTAAGGCTCATTTGACTTCACATTCCAGGATGTCTGGCTCGAGGTCAGTGACCACCCCATCGTGGTTATCAGGGATGTTAAGCTTATATATCTTTCTTGTATAGTTCTTCTGTGTAATCTTGCCACCTCTTCTTAATCTCTTCTGCTTCTGTTAAGTCCCTGCCATTTTGGTCCTTTATCATGCACAGCTTTGCATGAAATGTTCTCTTCATATATCTAATTTTCTTAAAGAAATCTCTGATCCTCCTCATTCTATTGTTTTCTTCTATTACTTTACACTGTTTATTTAAGAAGGCACTCTTATATCTTCTAGCTATTCTCTGGAATTCTGCATTCAATTGGGTGTACTTTTCCCTTTCTGCCTTGCCTTTCACTTCCCTTCTTTCCTCAGCTATTTGTAAAGCTTCCTCAGACAACCATTTTGCTTTCTTACATTTCTTTTCTTTTGGGATGGTTTTAGTTGATACCTCTTGTAAAATGTTGCAAACCTCCATTGATAGTTCTTCAGGCACTCTGTCTATCAGATCTAATTCCTTCAATCTATTTGTCACCTCTACTGTATATTCAGCAGGAATATGATTTAGGTCATACCTGAATGGCCTAGTGCTTTTCCCTACTTTCTTCAATTTAAGCCTAAATCTTGCAACCAGAAGCTCATGATCTGAGCCGCAGTCGGCTCCTGGTCTAGTTTTTACTGACTGTATAGAGCTTCTCCATCTTTGGCTGCAGAGCACATAGTCCGTCTGATATCTGTGTTGACCTTCTGGTGATGTCCATGTGTAGAGTCGTCTCTTGGGTTGTTGGAAAAGAGTGTTTGCTATGAGTAGTGTATTCTCTTGACAAAATTCTGCCAGCCTTTGCTTCATTTTGTACTCCAAGGCCAAACTTGCCTGCTATTCTGGTCATCTTTTGACTATCCCTGTGTCCAGGGCTGGCTTTTTCGGGAGTAGTCTTATCATAGCCTCCATTAGGGAGGCTGGGACTACTCCCTCTCTCAAAGAGGCATTGACAGCCTCTTAAACCCAGGAGGTAATGCAGTGTCTGCTCCAAGGCAGTGCATTTGGTTTCAGGCTGAACCAATATTGAAGGCAGCAGGCTGCAATTGACCTTTTGCTACAATGCTAGAGGTGTGTAGTTTCCTAGTTTTGCATCTTCCTGACATGCAAAGCATTTTTGCACAGCTGCTGACATTTCATTTCTTCACAAATTATGAAATGGTTTAGTTACAACACTTTTGGTGAGCAATTTGTTATTGCATCGCCTCAGACATTTGCTTTTGCTTTAATGTCACCAAAAATGTGATGATGTCACATTTAATGTCAGAGTGGAGGACTCTGCATTTAACTGAGCTAGTGGATTAAATAAACGGCTTGGGTCCTGGTTACCTGAAGGAGCGCTTACATCCATATACGTCCGCCCACCGCCTGAGATCTGTGGGAGAGGCCCTTCTCCGGGAACCCTCCGTGAAGGAAATTGGGAGGGTAGGTTCTCGGAGGAGGGCTTTCTCTGCGGTGGTGCCCAATCTATGGAATGCGCTCCCCAGAGAGGTCCGCCTGGCGCCGTTGTTATTTGTTTTTCGGCGCCAGGCGAAGACCTTTTTATTCAAACGTCATTTTAATTGCTAATATTATTTGCTTATTTTATTCTTTGGCCAGGGCGACTTATTTTATATTGTTAATTCATTTTATATTTTTAGTGTATTATATTTTAATTGATGTTTTGTGAGCCGCCCTGAGGCTTCAGCGATTGGGGCAGCATAGAAATTTTCTAAATAAATAAATAAATAAATAAATAAATAATAATTAAATAAATAAATAAACAAACAAACCATGCAGGGAGGAGATGGAATTTCTAGATGATTCTAAATGGGTGGGAGCAGTTATCAGGACAATTTTATTTCAGCTTTTTCTACAGCTAAATCCTGCTTGAAGGAGACCCAATGTTCTAAGAAGATAAGAGCCCTGCTGGACCAGGAGATATCTTGTGCAGCTTCTTGTATCTTACAATAGCCAACTGGATGCCTCTGGACCGAGCAAAAGTGCAAAAGTGATAGCCTCTGTTACTAAATACCCAACTGGTATTCAGGAGCACACTGCCTCTGATCTTGAAGAAAGTACATAGTCACATAGTGACAATAGATATTAGTTTTAACTTCCATGAATTGGTCTAATCAGTTCTTAAATCATCTAAGTTGGTATACAACGGTTGTACCAGATTCCATACTTTAACCTATTAAATACGTGCACAGCTTCCCATGTGGCTGACCAGTAGGAGGATGATGGGCATCCTAGTGTGCATTATGGTATGTTTGCTTGCATAATGTTATTTCTCTTCCTCCCCACCTTTCCAGGTTGCGTTCTGGCTCTCGTGCCCCTCCAAGCTTCCTGCTGCTTTCTGTCCCCTACTGGCAAGTTTTCTTGACACCCTATCCTGTGAGGCATTAGCCTTGCCTTGCTAGTCTCCTGCTTATTTTAGAGTCATCTCTACCTTCTCGAAAGAAAGGATGCCTGTGTTGTGTTGTGTTATGTTTTAATGGCTGGACCTGCTACAAAGGAAAGCATTGTTCTACATCCGCCCACCATCTTTGTTTCTTAATAATGTCCATGAGCCCCCTGTGTAGCTGAAAGACATTAATGGGAAATTAAGATGCCAGTGGTTGCAGGCCATCACTAAGTTTTGAAACGATATCAGCTGCCCTTAAGTCAATCTATTAATTACATTTTTCAAATTAATTGAAATTGCTTAGAATGCCAAGAAAGCTGTAAGATGTTGCACTGATGCTCCAGGCAGCATGTTGGCCACCTCTGCACTAAATTATAGGTAGCTAGCCTGTAATATGCATGTTTCTACATGAGACTGGCCATCTACTGTATCTGCTTTTGCGTTCATAGACTTGAGATTCGAGTTCTGTACAACAGTATCTATTTCCTACTGTTCCACTACATAATCTCTAGATGGTGCTTGGCTGTAGAGAGCTTTAGGTACTGGTGGTATAAATATGTAATTGCTAAATAATTCACAAATAAATAGCAAAGAGGAGGCTGTTGGCTCCTGTGTCAGTAGGGCTCTTCATCCATTGCAACCTTTCTATTCAGCTTTATAGGAGCTCTCCAGGCTGCTGAACTTCATCCCCAGACTAGGTTCATCAACGTGGAACAACATGGATAGAGCCTATAAAGTTTAAAATAGAAAGTTGCAATAGGTGAAGATCCCCACTCATGTAGGAGTTTCCAGCCATCCCAGATAGATTGGAATAATACAATTACAGAAGGAGGAAAGTAGATTTTCTCCCACTTTCAGAAATAATAGTCATTTCCCCCCACATACATACACACTAATCTGCGTCTTTGTAACAAGCCAAAAGTTGCTTTAAAAAAAAAACAAAAGTGAAGCTGGAGGTTCTTTTTAAAAATTTAAATTGAAAACTAGAGTTTTCTAAATAACATGAATAGGGTATGATCATGCAATAAATGTCTCATGTTGAAGAACAAGTGTCACAAGTGTCACAAATTATTCAAACACCTTGGGAAATGGGATTTTGATCTTGGACTTGAGACTAGTGCTTTGTATCATTTCCTAATTTGTAGTGAGACCCTGGGGGTGGGGGAGAGAGACCTCCTTAAAGGTACAGTAATATTTTAAGAAAACACCAAGACACCTAATTTTAACGTCTAACATACTAAGCAGTTTATATTGTTGTAGATAAATTTAAATAAATATTATTACACTTAGTTCAGCTTTAAAATAAATTTCCTGGGTTGCCTATCTCATGCCTGTAGCTCAATCCAACTTCTGATCTGCTTATATATTAAATTAAGCCATGGTGCATTGCTGTACATAGGTTTCTTTGTTTGTGGCTGTGTCACAGAAATAATCTGATGCCTCATGGACAAAGGCATTGTATGGTAAGATGGGGAAGCTGCTGATCTGGTAGTATTTTCATGAAATATTTTATTTTGATAAATTGCATTCATGTTAGTAAATATAGTCCTTGACAAATTAAAACTGAATCCTGGTAACTTTCATGGTTTAAAGGCTTAATAATTGCTTCTTTTTAGCTTAGCCGGTTGTAAAATAAACTTGCACAGTTGACTATGTTATGTGTTTAAAAGCAATTCTGTCAAAACTGAAAAATACTGTTTGTGGACTGGTTTTTTGTAGAACTATGGTTCAGCTTTTGGTAGTATGTGTTTCTACTATTCTTCAGTTTTAAATGCTAAAGCCATTTTAAATTGTATCTTCTTTTTAAGATCCAATCAGAAGTATAAAAATTATCTTTGCAGAAAAAAGCAATGCAGCAGAAGCCTCGTGATGAGATTACTTGTGCGATACTGACTAACAATGACGCGGGTGCCTGTGAAATATGGGTGACGTGACAGCATCTTACATGGATGAGAACGAGATGAAAAGATCATGTGGCCCAATTTCTCCAAAATCCATATTTTGTGCTTGGTTCTGGCAGTGCTGGCTATTTTGGCTTTAGTTCACAATTTCTATCAATTAGAGGTGAGTTCTTAACAATCAAAGGAATCAGGTCAAATATCATCCTTTCTCACATTAGTTCATTTAAGTGTGTGATCAAAATCATTCATTTGAGATGACTCTGCATGTATTCTTCTATGCTTCATATATATGTAATGAAAAAGTAAAGTGGTACCTTGGCTCACGAACTTAATCCGTTCCAGGACTCTGGTCGTGACCCAAATTGGTCATGAGCAATGTTAAATTTCCCCATAAGGTTCAATGTAAATAAGGTTAATCCATTCTGTAACTATTTTTTTTAATCAGAAAAATGTGAAGCAAAGTGACAAAGAACAACAAAGATCGTGGCCATCTCCCCACTCCCCACTCCAAGCATGAGCGCGGCCATCCCTGCACGTGCCCGTCATCCCAGCGTGCTGGGCGGGGGGAGAAATGGTGCGATTGCGAGCGCGCTGGGGGAGGGTGTCATGCCTGATGTGCCGACAGAGGCGGCACCTCACAAAGAGGTCTTGTGCTTGAGACCCTGTACCCAAATGTCAACCCCACAACTTGGGAATGGCTGAGCAGATAGCCATACCTCATTCTGACCCTTTACCCATTGAGCAAACGCCCGAGCCTACAGCAAAGCAGGAGCGCTCCGAGGGAAAAGGCACAATGAGTTCTGCTCATGGAGAGCCTGAGCAGACTGACCCACCTCCTCCTGATGCTGAACTTCCTGAGCATGACACAGGAGACACAGGAGGCAGGATAGACTTTTTCCTCGCGACCAATAGACGTATTCTGCGAAGATGAGAACAAAAACAAGCCTTGTCCCGCCTCGGAGAGGAAAGGCGGGACCAAGATAGCTAGTCCCACGTGGGCTCAGGGAGAGACGTCACTAAAGAGTTAGCATCTGCCTTGTAAAGACCTTAACAGTAGAGCTTATCTGTAGTGTTCTAAATCTTGCAGACAAGTAGCAATTAAAGACTTTAGTTTTATTGCTCATGAACGTGTGGGTTGTTTATATGTTGAGCCATTCTCAACAGAGGGAGAGATTGGCGCGAATGGGGCACACTGGGGGAGGGAGAGACGGGCGCGATGTGGAGTTCGTGACCTGAGTTAAATTTTTAATGAAATTTTTGTTTGCGACCTGATTTGGTCATGAACCAAAGTGTTCGTGAGCCGAGGTACCACTGTATACCAACAAAATTATGCACCTTGGAAAAAAAATCAGAATATTTCAATTGAAATCAAAGCTAATTTTCCTTTCTTTTCACAGATGATAGATAGCATGAGCTTGTATGTGTGCACTTGCACACACACATATAAGCCTATAGGATATTGTGTGCTAAATGCTTGTTTTTGCCATTCCAGGAAACAGCTTCTCAACAGAAAACTGTTTTGAGGGCCACTTGGCCTACCTACTGTGCCCACTTCCAATGCAATTTTGGCAATTTTGACTTGCCAAAATACAATTCAGTCCAAAGGTCAAGGCCATATGCTTTGTGTGTCCAGAGTTTAAATCAGGCACAGGTGTCTAAAAGAATGTTCAGAAAGCAAGCTGAAAGTCTAGGTATCGAATTAGTCTTAAAGCCAAAGATGGCAATAACAATTCTTTTTGTATGCCACAAAGAGCAGGCTCTGCCTGATCTAATTTATAGGCAGCTGTAAATCAGCATAACTGGCTAATTAGGTCAGTGTGTTGTTTCAAGGGAAGCTCTACACTCAACCTGCTGCTTGAACTTCTGCTGGTTCCATGAGCTTCTCCTCCTCTTTTCCAAGGGGTGACTCCTTTCTGACTCTGACTCCTGCCCTTGAGGAATTCTGGAAACTGCCCAAGAGGGAGCTGGCTGCTCCTCTAGTGGGAGGCAGTCAGCTGTAGCCTCAACCCCTGCATCTGATTGTGGGTGGGGCCCACTGTGCTGGCTCTCATGATCTGGAGAGTATTCCTCCAGGAAGGACATGACACTGCCTTTCATATAGTGATCACTTTCTGGAAGAGAGCTAAGATAAGTGTAGGTCTTCCCAGATGATACTTCTGACTTCTGTAAGATTTCGTCTGCAACATTATCATCTTGCCATCTTCAAATTATTATGGTGTCTGGCAACATAGAACCACATCTGGAATTACACATCCAGCTAGTGTTTGTTTCTATTTGAATCTCAACCAACCCTGTTTAATTGGGATCATCTGTGTTACTGTCCATTGCATTTGTCCAGAGAGGTGGATTATTTAGTTCATTCTAGGTTTATATAAGGCTTCTCTTTGTCAAATTTCCACATTTAAACCTTTGGCATTATAGGGGGACATTCCTTGCGCTGTGGAACTCTAGTTAATTGTACAGTTTTTAGACAATGGAAATCCATGACCCAGCTATATTCTCATATATAAATATTGTCCACTGCCTTGACTTTCTGATACACTGTACTATATATGTATTAATAATAATTAGAAATAATGAATTGGAAGTTAGTGACTATAGTACTTTATTATGTGTGTGTACACTTAGAGACACAATCCTAGTATTGCAGTTTTATGGGGACTCTCACATTTATTGATGTGTAATTTTTCAGTGTTATATTGCAATTTGTGTGTGTGTGTGTGTGTCTGTGTGTGTGTATCATATTTTTATTTTGGGGTATTTTTCATATACCATTAGTAGTACACTGAATACCATCTGTAGTCAGGTAATATATATTTCCTAGATATAACTCTGCAGATGTGTTTATATTGTTAATAAGCCTGTTTCAAAGTGTTTCCTTCTTTTGTAGAACCTGAATACTGCAGGTTTGAAGTGGTTGATAGAAGATGATGACCAGCAGCCTTCATCACAGGTGACTAAAATACCCAGAAAATTGTATTGTGGTTATGAGCACCAAGTTTTATCTAAGAGGGAACGAGAGGAAGAAGAGTCCTTATTTGCTGCTATGCGCTGGCCTAAACCTCCTGAGGACAAAATCCCATTTGTGAGGAGCACAGATGCTTCTCATAGCACTTTTGTGATATTAAACACACACAAAAATTTCAAAGTTGGTGATCAGTTGGAAGTGTTGGTCCACATGAAAGATTATGAAGGGAAGCCAAAACAGTATGGTGGAGACTACCTTCAAACAAGAATCCACTCTGCTCATCTGAAAGCTGGAGCCACTGGAAGAGTTGTAGATTACCAGAATGGATCTTACAGAGTTTTTTTCACTTTACTTTGGCCAGGGGAGGTCATGGTATCTGTGTCTCTGGTCCATCCTAGCGAAGGAATCCAAGTCCTTAAGCGTTTGCAAGAAGAAAGACCTGACAGGGCCTACTTCAAAAGCCTGTTCAAATCAGGGAGAATTTCAGAAACCACTGTGTGTAATGTGTGTCTATCCGGAGACATGCCAGTCTGTAACTTTACAGATCTCTACACTGGTGAGCCATGGTTCTGCTACAAACCAAGAAAATTGTCCTGTGCCACCAGGATCAGCCATTACAAAGGAGGTTATCAAAAGGGGCTTTTGACCTCAGAGGAAAGTCGCCTTTTCCAAAGGTATATGTTCTCTTGTATGTTTACCATTTCTTCCATTTTAGTTAGTTTAGTTTTATATAGAGTTGTTTCCTGTAATTGCTTGCACAGGCAAAAGCTATTGCATGAATGTCATTGTGACATGAAAGCATGTACCAAGTAACCAAAAGAAACTATTCATATGTACAGCTCTATTAGGATGGTTCTCATTTGCCTGAAAGGTCTAAGAGAGGACAGTTTTCCTTGCCTGCTGTGACTGTAATCAGATGCCAAACTCTGGTTCACAATTTCCTGGGACCTTTTACCTTGGGGCTTCTGCGTACTTCGGTGCAGGTAGATTATCAGCAGTAAGAAGTCCATTTAACAGAGAAGACTTAACTATACATAACCACATGAAGTGCAGCCCTCTAGGGAAATGCAGGCATCTCAATTTTTGACACTAATGAGTCACTGCAGCGATATTCTAAGGGAATTGGAAGGTCAGAAAAGGACTTAGAGATGTTAAAGGAAGGCTCTGAAGAAACTGGGAAGTGGCAGAGACAAAAAAGGGAGATCCTGAGGAGGCTGAGCAGAGACTGGGAGAGACGCAGCAGCATTCTGCCTTTCAACCAGTGGTCCCAGAACCAGCTCCCAGCAAGCACAGCTACCCTGAAGTCTTGGATTACCCATCTTGAGAGAGTTTTAAAGGCATCACCTACTTTTCTAGAGTATAAAGCCATGGGCTCCCTTCCTTACGTGTTGCTGTTCTAGGGACTTGCTTTTTTTCTCCCATTCACCCTTCCTTGGTAAATAAATCTTAGTTCTTGCTCACTGTTTCCCTACCACCACCCCTTTGCAGGGAACAGGGGTCCTGGTGAAATGCAGGCACAGTATGATAATTTAGGATCAGCATTTTTCTGACTCATTTTTCCCAATACTGTATGAACCTAGCTCCCATGATTTCCAGTGCTAGTAGGAAAATTGGAGCGTCTGATATGATTGGCATATCATTTAGCTAAATACTCTTGGCTATAGACTTGCATGACTCAGAAAATGAGGATTCTATAGTTACATTTAGTGCAATAATTTTACATGGCAAGTTTTGTATTTCTTTACAGCAGGCAAGAAGGGAGCTTTAATCCTTTCCACCTCTTGCCACAATCTTGATGAAAATTTCTCCCATCTCCTACTGTGTCCCGCTCCAGGATTCCCTTTTGCACCAGAAGGGAAGAATCCATTGGCACCAAGCAGAGCTTCCCTTCCAATGCAGATAGTGCGGTCAGAGAGCAAGTTGTACCAAGACTACAGCAGAGGAAAGATTAAATTTCCCTTCCCTGCCTGCTGTGGGCCTGATCCTGATGAGTCCATCTATTTTTGTTTTTTAAATAGAATTAAATTCAACAGTATGGATAATGTAAAGTGTAGTTTGACCCTCCAGCATTCTCCAGAGCCTCATGACCTGAGGTGTGAGCGATACAGATGACTGGGGGTCCGGATGCACTCCATATCCCCTCTTCCACCCCTAGAAGTGGGAGGTAACTTGGAAGACTGTGGGAGGCACTGCATGGCTGTGATAACCATAGTCAGAGAATCTCTGTTCTGATTCAGGTTGAGATTCATGCCTACAATGAAAAGAGAATTTAATGGTATAGCCTATGTATAGTTTCATCTCGGACATTTCAACTTAGATAAATGAGACTTATCAGTAACTGTTGTTTCAATTCTTTTATTTTTGAATTTAGTGATGTGAATATTAAAATGCCAATACCCTCCAGTGGCCCTGATACTGTGATCGTAAGGCCCTTGGGGCATGCAGGTAAACTAAATGTTTGAAAGAACTTATTTCAAACCACTAAGGCCTTGTTCACATGTTGTATTTTGCCTGTGAAAATGACAAATTCACATAATGAGTGCAACTACCAGGAAACATCTTGATTCACGTGAACACTTATTGTTAATCACCTGTAATGGTAGCATGTTGTTATGTTGTCATCGTCATCATCATCACCACAATTAATTTGTTTATTTATAGCATAACTTGGAAATTACACAGCATGTCAGAGTGAGATCTGCTTCATGTTTTCCATCCCAGTAATCATTTCAGCAACCTTGTATGTTAGTGTTATGATCATTGTTTCACATCTGAAGGGCTGAAGAATTTGGTGAGTTTGAATTGAGGACATTCAGAAGTGCATTCTCAGCAGCTGGTCTATATCAGCCCTCAATGCCTTTCAAAAACCAGATGATCAAATTAAGAAGATTAGATAGGTAACCCAGCTGTTCATACAAATTTATGCATATTAAGTCTGTTCCGAGAGCTTTGTGCTGCAGTTGCAGTTCAAAGAAACATCGATCACACTCCGGGTTTAAGGAGTTTACTAACTGGCACTTGCGCCAAGAAGTTTTCCATGCACATTAAGTGATTTCAGTGGTACTAGCCTGTAGTTGCCTTGATGCTCATGCAGCTATGATTACAGATAGCATACAGGGCAGAGGGATAAAGGATTACCCTAGCAACCAGACATTGATTATAATTCATTTGAGGATGCTCACATCTCTGTCTGACAGTGGCCATTGTCTATTGAATGCTGGGGAAATGGGATCCGCTTTAAAAATGTATTTATTTTTGTATGTTTTAACCTGCTCAGTAATTGATGTTATCTGGGTAGATCAACCCAGAACAGAAATGCTTACTTGAGGAAAGTTATCTGGACTTTTGTGAGATGGCACATTTATCAGACACACCAAAGGTCATTTGGGGAAAAAAATCTGCTTTCTAAAATGCTGGAAGATTCACCTGCAGTTTTTTGTTTACTTTTTTCATTAAAAAATTAAAAATCCCCATAATCTCCTGGAATGCTTGTGAAAAGATAAGAAAGTAAATAAACAGACTGTAGAATAATGAATAAATTAGGTTCATTAACTTATAAAATTAATGGATTAAACAAGCACACTGAGGTCAATTTCCATGGTCTGGGAAGCAGTGAATGAACTTTGCTTATGCTGTTTAATTGGATCTTTAAATGCTTTCCACTGTATAAAATGTTTATATGTTTTAATCATATGTCATATACCTTAAAGACATGTAATAAGTTTAATAAATGTAGCGGTTGTTGAGTGCCGTCATCTCTAATGTGTGCTGACTGTATGCGTAAATGTCCTCCCAAGTCCTGTCTGTGACAGCTCTGCTCAGTTCTTGTAAACAACATCAACAATGCTTTACTGTTATATCTGAATACATATATGGATAACTGGATAATAATGGCTAACTGAAAATTGCCTCTTCCAGAATTGGACAATATGGGAAAATCTCAAATCCCTGATGTATTTCCTTCTGGCTATTATTATCAAGATGAATGGCAAACAAGGACACAATGGATTCGACATTTTAACAAGTCATCAGATATAACTGAATGTTTACAGGGAAAACTTATTCACTTGTTCGGAGATTCTACAATCAGGCAGTGGTTTGAGTATCTGACAGCATTTGTTCCAGGTCAGCATTTTTCTCTTGCCTTGGCTTGTTTAAAAAAAGGAGAACAAAAGAAAGGACAAACACTTTGGATGTAGAGATTGTGAAATTTTGCTCTTTATTTGCAATTGATGTTCTTTTGTTTCTAGAATTTAGAGGTGTTGCAGAAATTTGTGAAATTGATTTGGCATTTTCTGCCAATCTCCCTTTCTAAGGGCTTTTCTAAATGAGGCATTTTTTGTGTTCACAATCCTTTACTCGCATAAAGCGTTGGGACCTTTACACAATGTTATCCTCTCCAAAGGCTTTCCTGCATTCCATGGCTCTTTATAGAGTAAGCAAAATGAAATAAATTTTAAAGGCAAAGGCAGCACACACTGGAATAAAGGTTCATATAATTCAGCAACTGCTCTTTGATGTAGCACCACCGTGTGGTTGTATAATACAATGTAGGCAAGGCAGAGAAAGCAAAAACTCACATGTAAAAGATGGCCTCTTTCTCCTGCAAAGAAAATGAAAGAAGCCTCTGTGAAGTGCCTAGTTAAATGCCTCATGTAGAAAAGCCGTAATCTGTTTTTCCATAAGAGTTGGTTGGGAAGTGGTTTCTCATGTGTTCCAAGATTATGCTTTCAAGACCCTCTCCTGACAAATATTTGTCCCAGTAAGTACATTGCCCTTATTTCTCACTTTATAAATTTGATAATGGTGTGGCAGATATTACAGAAGAAGGAAAGCAGGAGAAATATTGATTATAGAATGAATGTGTGTACCCATGTTAGTTTCAATTTGAGGGGAGAGCTAAAGGACTGAATCAAAGGCTTTATGGAAGAAGTAGGTTTTTGAGGAGAGATTTACAAGAATAAAACAATGTAGGTCTAGTGGTCTAAGAAATAATCACAAACATAAAGAGAATTAAGAGGAGAAGGTGTTAATGGGTTGGTAATACCAAGGACAGCTTTATAGGTAAAAAGCCAGTGTTGTTTCTTGAGAAAGCAGAATTGGATGCTCTAAGTGGCAAAAGAAGTATATTGTGACTGTAGATTCTGGATAGTGGTCAGAGAACTTGGATATTGCAGATGAAAGGCAGATATAGAAAAGGGCCCAGGTCTTGCACATTGCAGTCTGCTCAGATTTCTGTTTCTGAGAAGGAGATGGAAGAGCAGAGGTAGGCAGATGACTTGGCTCTTCCAAGGTTACCTAGTGAAGATTCTCAGGCAGAGCTTGAGAACCAGCCTACCTTGCAAAAGGAAGGACATACTTCACAACTGGAGTGGGGGAGCAGGGAAGGAGGGAGTTCCCTGGTAGGTAGGTAGGAAGGAAGTAGGTGAAATGAGCAGACCAATTAAGAAATGTCCACTGTTCCTGCCATCTAGTCCTCATGCATCAGGAGCCACCTTAAGATGGAGTCAGAAGCTTTTCTGAAAGGAAAGGAAGGAGAGGAAGTTTCAGCTTGGATTCGACTCTTCATAGGACAGTTGCTTCTCCCACATCGCAGAGAGAATTTTACTTCGATTTATACTGTATTGTAATCTCGTTCAGTTTTCATAAAAGGGGTGTGTTTCTGAAGTCTCATCTGAGTGCAGGATAAAAATGACAGAGAGAGACATGTCCATGGCAGCAGAGAGGGTTGTAGTAATCAGAATGTGAGATAACAAATATGAATCAGAGTTTCAATGAGAGCAACACTTGTCTCTTTTACAACACTATGTATCAAGAAAATGTGGTGATTTGGTGGAATGACTATCAGCAAAAGACAGGGAGCAATTGAAAGTAAAGCAAGGACTTAAAACCTGATCACCATGGTGAACAATCTGAATGAGAGAATCTGTTCAGATGGTTCAGTTAACACAAACTATTTTTCCTTCTGCAAATAAGGCTTTTTAAATTATAAATATATCCCAAGCACCGTTTTGTGATTGTGTTTGTGTGGTTACAAATAGATCAGGTGGATGCATAAAAAGTAAACTGTATTTATTTATTTTTGTCCTACATGATGCTTTAACAGAAGACTTAATGGAAGCATAAGGATTTTTGTTTTTCTTTACTAATAGTTACAGTTGGTGACAGACTGCAGTCAATGACACAGTGATTCTTTTATTTTTCAGATCTTGTGGAATTAAATCTTGGCAGCCTTAAAAAGGTCGGTCCTCTCATGGCTGTGGACACAAAGCATAACATCCTACTAAAGTTCCGCTGTCATGGGCCACCCATTCGCTTTTTTACTGTGTTCAGCAGTGAGTTACATTACATTGCCAATGAACTAAATCGCATTGTAGGTGGGAGGAACACTGTGATAGCCATAACGATCTGGTCTCACTTCAGTACTTTCCCTGTAGAAGTGTACATCAGGAGGCTGAGGAACATTCGCAGGTCAGTTGTTCGACTGCTGGATCGGAGCCCCAAAACTCGGATAGTCATCAAAACCGCCAACGTTCAGGAGCTTGGGCCAGAAGTTAGCCTTTTCAACAGTGACTGGTATTCCTATCAGCTTGACACAATCATGAGGAAGATGTTCTCAGGAATTGGTGTGTACTTTGTGGATGCTTGGGAGATGTCACTAGCACACTATTTGCCACACAAATTGCACCCAGAGGATGTCATTGTCAAAAATCAGTTAGATGCTTTCTTGTCTTTGGTGTGCCCACTGGAAACACATTATAGCTTCTTAAAAGGAATACACAATCAAATGTGGTCTCTGCTTCTGTAATTCAGTGTCACTCACATTTGGCACTAGTTGTTTGCCATGGGTTATCGCTAATCTGAGGTGCTTGTAACCTGTATCTAATTTGTGTAGACTGCACAATAATATACTAAAAGTATATATTTACTGCATCTAGGTTGAAATTTTAGGTTGAAATTTTTTATTTAAATAAAAACATACTACAAAAGTTACAAAAGGCACAAAAAGTACAATGTTACAAAAATAGAGAAGTACACCATCCAATATTTACAAGGTATCAAAATGCCGAATGTACACACATTTACAGGATTCCCAAGCTTTACAAATCAAATTTACAGAAAGAACATTCTACAGACTTCTCCTTGATAGGTTCATGCCATGCGTCTCACCAACATTTTCCATGTATGAGCGGTATACGTACATTACGTGATCGGGGCATGAGCCCCACTCAACCACGGCCACAATTTCCTCCTTACTGCGTCTAGGGCAGTGATGGCGAACTTTTTAGAGACCGAGTGCCCAAACTGCAACTCAGAACCCACTTATTTATCTCAAAGTGCCAACACTGCAATAAAACCTGAATTTGCTGACTACCAGCACAAGGGGGCAATGTTCCACTGACCACCAGCTTTTGGCCAACCCTGAAAAAGGCATCTGAGTGTATTTCCTACCTGAATGTATTTCCCACCTTTCCTACATTCTGCTAAAATCACAACAGGTTGTGCAGACTTGAACCGACGATCTTTAGATCAACCAGCTGAGCAGCACAGTAGTTTAAACCACTGCGTCACTTGCATCCCGCTAAAATCACAATCCATGCAAATCCCTGGCAGCTCACTGGCCAGTTGCAGCTAATGAGTGATGTTATTGCCTGGTGTCCTTAATCTTTCTGAATATGCGCACGGCTGCTGGGGATCGTGTGCAGACAGAGAAGGCTCTGGTGCCCCTTTGGGCACACGTGCCATAGGTTTGCCATCACTGTTCTAGGGAACAACAGCACACACCTCCTTGCTGTGCACATCAGAATGTACAGGTGTGCCCCATTCTGCTTATCAACCTGACAGTGGCAATTGTTCTACCCCTGAGGAAGCCCAGCTTTCTCCGCAGCTTGATTTGCTTTGTAGTCACACTGAGCTTCAAGGGTGGGGAGAGGCTGCACTCAGAAAACATGAACTATGCAGCCAAACCTCCAGTTCCAACAGGTTATGCACACATTTTCTTTCAGTGGATATTTTTGGATAGATTGCTTCTGCTCAGTCTGCTGGGCAAGACTATACTGATTAGGCTTTTGACTTCATCCCCACAAGGAGCAGCCTACTTCCAGTTTCATTTCCACCTAGCTGAGACAGGATGTTGGATCTTCTTCAGTCTCTTCCTTCACAATGTACCTACTTGGCTCTTTTCCCTCTCACTTTAAAAAAGGAATTTGGAGCTTTTCCACACAAGGAATATGTTATGCACACATTATTCCGTACTCATGGTTGTTTGCGGGTTTTTTAGACAATGTTGTGGCCCTCTAGTTTTGCTTTTTTTTTGGTTAATCGTTTCTGCAAGATTTTTTGGAGCAAGGAACATAGCTTATTATATCTTATGGTGAAATAAAGCATGATTTCCTCTTGTGTGTTTGTGCTATTCTGCTATACCATGGTTCCACCTAGAAGTTGTGCAAGAGGAGCAAACCACATGCATCCTCCATCCTTGGCAGAAAATGAACATATTGAGATAGGTATCAAGTATTCCTATTCCCTGGAGGATATTTTAGTTGCTGTCATCCAAAGGATGGCAATGACACCCTAAAAATGGTGATGTCAGGAAGGCCAAACTCACCAGGAAGTCACAGGTTATGGTCATAGGGCTCAGTTCCATGGTTTTCATCTTTGTTCTGGCTTCGGTATTTTGTGGGACATTCGCTACAGTCATGCTGCGTAACATCTTTGGCAGGGCTTTGAGTTCTTTAAAAAAAGAAAAAAAGGTGGGATTTAAAGCAAATAAATAAATAAATACGGGACTATAACTGCCATGATTCCTTTCATACTGAATAAAGTGTTTGGGAACAAGATGCTGGTAGAGACAAAGAAGAAAGCTCTTCCTTCTGCTCAAAATGAAGGAAGGCCCCCGAATAGTCCAGCTATTCAGAGCTGCCTTTAGAGGCAGATACGATAGGGCACTCAAAAGCCTAATTAAGATAGTTCTGCATATCACAGCATAGGAGGGGAGCACCCATCCAAGGATATCTTCCATCCACTGCCAAAAAGGAATGTATAACACCAAGTACTAATGCTATGTCCTGCAGTTTGTTTGTTTATTTAAAACATTTCTATGCCGCCCCCATCGCAACAAAGCCTCGGGGCGGCTCACAAAGCCTCAGGGCGGCTGCCAACAGTGTTGGTAGCAGAAGGACAGGCATGTGCACAGCCCTTGGCTCAACTAGTTGGAGGCCAGGACAGCCAACTCCCTTGGGCCTTTGTTTGAGGAACCTATTTCTAGGCATCCTTTCCAGTTCTGTTCATTTATCTCTTCTGGTGTCCTGAATGGAAGCACACCAGACAACTATTTTACTTACAGCAGGATCATTTTTATTAAGTTACATATCTGCAAATAGCCATATAGACTACATCTTCAATTACATTATATTTACCTAGGGAGAAATATATTGTCACTAATAGTGATATATGAATATTTAATATTTGTTAACTTTCTCTCTGTAGTGCATGAACATGTGGTCGGCATCAAAAATAGGCTAGAGAAGCACATGGTGGGCATGTTGTGAGTGGAGCCGGCTGGAGCCGGGGGTCAGACTAGATGGCCCGGGAGGCCCCTTCTGACTTGCTCTATGTTTCTATGTAACATGGGCACTGTTTATAAGGCATTTCTCAGCTAATATTAAAGTGTGGGATGGAATATTTGGGGCTGTTATTTATTTGAAGACTTATTCCACTCTAGCAAAAAATGTTCTCTGAATGGTTTAACAAGATCAACCATAAAATGGTCCCTGCTCAGGATTCCTATCCAAAAGCCATGATGCACAAGGAAAAGGAGCAGAAAGGGTGGAAGGAATAAGAAAAAGCAACCTTGGGTACCAAATTCCAGTTCTTATGACTGACAGGAATGGAAACAGTTCTGGTAGTCAGATGGAATAGTTTCCACTAGGTGACAGATGACAGGGATCAAATGCAGCTGGTCTTAATTCCGCCTTTCTCCTTCTGCACTGCCTTTCTCCTTCTGCATTGCAGCTTCATGTCTCTGGTTTGACAGCTACAGCTTTGGTTCAACAGAATCCTTAGATCACATCAAAGAATTAAAGCAGTGTTATATACTTTTATCCATGGCTTTAAAAGAAATCTCAGAAGACCAGTTTTGAGGACGGCAAGACAAGTTTCTGCTTTTATCCTTTTTTTAACATTTAGAGCAGCTTCAGTAATTTAGTTTGCAATGGTACAGAATGACATAGATCTTGACTAGAGGACTTACAGTGATCAGTGGGCAAGACATGGATGAGGCCAAACAATAAAGTAATGGGCCAAGGGAAATTTGGACAGCAGAAGTGAAATAGCCAAGACTAAGGAACTGCATGGTTCAGAGAAACCTAAAGAAGCAGTTCTTGGAGTAGAGAGAGGTAGTCTGAAAAACATGGTTTCTTCAAGGTCAACAGCAGATAAAGAGTATACCAAATTGAATATGAACATTGATCATCTGAGCAGCACCTAGAAAGTCAACTTGAGAGTGCACAGACCAGATTCCTGCCCACTGAGTTATCCAGGTCTTAATTTCTGAAAAAGTTTGTCATGTATAAATTAGGTTCAGCACCTTATGCCTGATCCATAAAGGAACTGAATTTTGATTTTTGTTTACTGCTGAACTTGTTCTGGTTTCTGTTTACTTAAGTTTCCAGTGACATCTGTGATTATCCACAATATTTTTTCATGTGTATATATTTGGTAGCATTACTGTTGGGTAATTTCTTAAAATCACCAAATCCTTTGCTGCTACTTTCTTTGGAAGAAGGTGAGTTTGCAGGAGACCAGTGTTTGACTGGTTAAAACTGGGGCAAGACTTGGCTGCATAGGCTTTGTCATATTGGTGTTTCTGCTGTTTGTTCTCTGGAAAATCATTGAGTTGTACATATTTGTAACTTTTGTAAATGTTGTGTTGTGGCTATTGGTGTAATTGGTTCTGGCTATTGGCATTCATTTAGATTCTGAGGGAGAAATTTGTAACAAGATACTGCTTCAATCTGCCAAGCATCACTTTATGGCCAGGCATCCATTTTTATCCATCTATAATACCATCTTTAAAGGTTTTATAGCTACAAAAAAATTCTGGCAAATGTATTTAGGTCTCAAAAGCCTTTTTCAGACTTTGCCTGTTGATAACACCAATAAGACCCATGCTGGGTCACTTGGCATGAAAGCTTCAGTGATGCACTGCCCCACAATTTTGTGTGACATGTTGCTGTCCCTTTAGGAACTTCAGCCTGGTATACTGTACAGAGACAAGCCTGCAAGGTGTGCATCCAAGCTGGAATGGGTGAAGCAGCCCGAGCAAGTAATCATGCCACGAAGTCAGGAATTTCTGGTCATACTCAAAGATCTAGCAATATAACTTCAACAACCACAGTGAGTTTCAAGGACTTGCAGATTATTTATCTGTTTATTTCATTTCATTTGATTTCTATAGCACCCACCCACCAAAGCTCTCTGGGCTGTTCAGAGCAATTAGGGACAGTAATCAGAAGCAGCCATGAATTCATGCCGAAGAGTTGCATACCCCCTCAGGACTGAACATTAATATCCCTCATATAAGAAAAACGATCTTGCATAAGGTGTGGCTTGATTAGGTTTCACAGTAGTGATAGGGTAATTTTAATACAATTGGTGACAAAGGATCTGTGAGGTGTCAAATGTAGTATTCTGTTAGCATTCATCTTACCGAGACATGTTGTCTTTTGTTAAAACATTGTAAGAAGCCTTCAGTGTTCCAGTGACCACTGGTCTCATTGGCTTTCTGATTCTAAGATATGCTGAAATCAAGTTCCTGCCTTCCCAAGGTCATGGCACCTTATGCTTTTGGTTCATAGCAAGCTTAATTGGTTTCTGGCCTTCTAGAGATTCAATAACCATTCTGTTCTGACACATGGCAAGTCCAATGTCTGGCTGAGTCTCTTGGTTCAAACTGCCTTTGCTGTAAAACTGTTACAGCTAGTTAAACTGTTTCACCACAGCCTCAGATTAGACCCTGTTTAAAAAGAATCAGTGAAAGAGCTAAATGCACTTCCTACAAGAGACAGTACCATGAAGTTGGGATCACCACTGAGAAGGCCTTGATTCTTCCGTCCACCAATCTGATTGAGCTTACTGTCTGGTCCATAAACAGGACCTCTGCCAATCTTGGGGCCACCATTTTCAGCAGTCTGAGGAAATATTCCAGGTCCTTAAAGAAATGTGCCTAATAATTAAGAAACATAATTGAGATCTTGCTTAAGCATCAGTGGTCCAGTACAGCCACAGTAACCCAAAGATGGCTGA